GAAGCCTGCTTCTCCCTCTCCCACTCCCCCTGCTTGTGTTCCCTCTCTTGCTGTCTCTCTGTCAAATAAATAAATAAAATCTTAAAAAAAAAAAAAAGAAAAAGAAAAAGCTCCAGGGGTGCCTGGGTGGCTCAGTCAGTTGAGCATCCGACTCCTGGTTTCAGCTCAAGTCATGATCTTGGGGTCCTAAGATCGAGCCCCATTTGGGCTCTACGTTCAGCATAGAGTCTGCTTCTAGATTCACTCTCTCCCTCTCCCTCCACCCCTCTCCCTGCTCTCTCTCTCTAAAATAAATAAATTTTAAAAAAGAATAAAAATAAAAAGCTCTGCATGAAAAAAATCATAAGGAAAATCAAAGACAAAAAATATTTGAGAATATTTTGTATCATAATTAATCTCTGTAAAATATTAAGATGAACAATGTAATAGGGAAAAAAGGATAGAGATACAGAGAAACCACTGAAAGAGGAAAACCAAATGACTCATAGATGAGACTACATTCATCCTCACTGAGAAGAAGCCAGTATAGTCAAACGCTATGAATCAGCAATATCAATCAAAATTATAAATGCACATAATTCTCTAATCCAGCAATTCCATTTCTGAAAATTTATCTACAAATATACACATGCAAGAAACCCAAAGTTTTATCACTAGAACACTGGTTGAATATACTATGCTCAAAATTCTACAGGATGAAAAAGATTAAGGAGGTTCTATAAACTGATATGGAAACATCTCCAATTAAGTAAAAAAAAAAAAAATCAAGCGCAAGAGTTTATCTAATACCCTATCTTCAGAGTAAGAAGTGGGGTAAATAAAAATACCTTTGTATATGACTTCTATATACATAAAGAAATTCTGAAGGACACATAAAAAAAAAACCTAGAAGATACACAAGAAAGTAAAATGAAGTAGAGGTAACTTGTTTGTGGGAGAGGGAGAACTAGGTATAGGGAAGGGGAATGGAAAGAGAATTTTCACTTTATGCTTTTGCTACATGTGTATGTATTTAAGTGTGTGTGTGTGTCTATGTATAAAATTTGGGACATGTACATATATTACCTATTTACAAACTAAATCAAAAACAAGACAGTAAAAAACAAACCCAGTTTGTGATCCCACTTACACAGAATATTTGGTATTTAGGGGCTGCTAGTAAAATGAATACAGATGAATCCCATCAGAATGGAACCAGCAGTAATAGATAGACCTATTGAGTGAGAATGAGCTCAACCTCAGCCTGAAGTAAAGTAGTAAGGATATGCAGAACAATTAGCCCTTGACCTAGAACCGGAGGTGCCCCCAAGCCAAGATCCAAAGCTCAGGAGCACTGACATAAAAACAATCATTGTGATAACTCTCACAATGAATCTATGGGATTTGACAGTCTCCTGAAGGTTCACCAATGGCCAGAGAAGTCAAGCCAGGAGAAATAAATACCACTTTACATACCTAACCAAGCACACATAGTATGATAACTCAATGAATTCTAAGCATGATAAACTCAAAGAGATCCATACCTACACATATCATAACCATAAGGTCAAAAGACAAAGACAAAGACAAAGAGAGCATTTTGAAAGCATCAAGGGAGAAGCAACTTATCACACAAAAGGGATCCTCAATAAGATTAACAGCTGATTTCTCATTAAAAGACAAAAACAAAAACCTGGAGGTCAAAAAGCAGTAGGATGATATATTCAAAGTATTGAAAAAGACTGTCAATACTAATAGCAAAACTATTGTTTAAGCCATCCTTAACCAACAGAAGAGAACTTTTGTTGCCTTATGAAATGGTCCATTCTAGGACTGACAACTGTAATTCATAAAACATTTAGGGTACCGCAGAAATCTTAGTGTACAATGAATATCCATGGGCTCTCCCATATTCCCAGTCTCCCCTAGAGTCAGAGTGAGACCATTTTACTAATTCTGGCCAATGTACTATGAGCAATAATGATGGGTGTCATGTCCAGCCTGAGGCAGGGAGAGCCTGCATGACCCTACAAGTCTGCATGACCCTACAAGTCTGTCCCTCCTCCTCTGCTTGGAGGCCAAGTGCTTGCAACTTCATATCTAAAATACAGAGAGAGACACTCAGACTTTGAGTGACAAAAATACCATCGTTGTGTTAAGCCACTGAGATCTGAGGTTTAATCTGCTACCACCAGAATTGGAGCTTGTCCTAAACAATAAAATTATTAAAAGGAGCAAACTAATAATGAATCAAAATCACTTCTACTTCTCTTTCAACTATTGATTTCTAGAGCAGAGAACAACTCCCCTTTTCACAGGATAAATCTTCAAATATTTAAAGGTTGTTTCTCTTGAGTTTTCTCTTCCTCTTTAACTTCATTGCTTGATAACTATCCTATTAATGGGGTACTCTCCTATTTTAATTTAGCCAAACTGCGAACTCAAGGAAGGTAAATTATCAAAGTTCACTGGCACAAAGGTCTAAGAGACTGTAAATACTTCCCTGACATTCTATTCTCTTTGACACTGAGATGAATTTCTCACCATTGTGGATGGCCTCAGCTTTTTTCTTTTTACAGGCTGCTCAGAACGGTTATAACTACATCTCTTCTAACAAACAATACTCCAAGCTCTCTCCAGAAAACTGTTTGGAGGCAGGGGCAATGCCCACAGTAGACTGATGCCCCATCATTCAGTCTAGGGTTGGACTCCATAGGCTTTACTGCAATTCTTAGTTACAGCCTTAGGCCATCAGCTTCCTCCCCTGGGCTTATGAAAATAGGCAAATATTTTCATTTCATTCATTCCCCCACCTTATGGAGGCAATACTTGGCAAGTTTAAAAAAATACACAAGCTAGTAAATGTGAATTATTTATTCAAGAGACCACTAGTTATTTTCCCTTGAAGCACCAAGAAATCTTGCTAACCAGGCCAATTTTGTTGCAACACAGCATCATTTCCACATTTTGTGTTTCATGGAACATAAGATGAGAAACAAGGCAGAGGATCAGAAGGCAAGGGAGGGAAAAATAAAACAAGAAGAAACCAGAGAGAGAGAGACAAACCATAAGAGACTCTTAATCTCGGGAAACAAACTGAGGGTTGCTGCAGTAGAGGGGGGTGGGGGAATGGGGTGGCTGGGTGATGGACATTGGGGAGGGTATGTGCTATGGTGAGGGCTGTGAATTGTGTAAGACTGATGAATCACAGACCTGTACCCCTGAAACAAATAATACATTATATGTTCATAAAAAAAAAATGTCAACAACAACCAGACAGAACTGAGAACATGAAATGGCCTGAGTTACCAGAATCCAGAACTAAATGGTTAATTTTTTAAAACCTCTTCCGCACTAAAAATGGATTTATAACTTAAGAAAATGCCCTAGATGGAGATGGGCGGGGCTGACTTCATACCTCGAGTGCCTGGTGGACAGGAGCACTTGAAGTGGTTCACAAGGTCGACACAGGTGCCGCCGTTCTGGCATGGCTGATTCTGGCACTCATCTACTTCATACTCGCAATTGACGCCCTGATACCCTGGGACACACTGATAGGAACAAGCAAAAGGGAAGAAACACTGGACCATTGTTGGAAATAGACCACCACAGCAAATGAGACCTGGAAGGTTGGTGTATACCTCTGCCCACTCCCTGCCCCCACCCAGCACCATCACACGCTCGACCAACCATCCTGTGCAGGGCCAACTTGCAGCATACTGACATTTACATCTTCCAGCTGAAAAGCCACTTTATAACCCAAAGGCAAGGACTCAACATTCTGAGGGATATTTCAGAACTGATGCCTGTGCAAAACTTTCATCGCTCCTCAACGCTCCCATCTTTAAAATATGCATTCCTTGGTATGCGATGAGGACCCTATGACTCAGTCCAACGGTACGTGTGGACAGTAGTAAACACACTGCATTTATTGATCTCTAGATTCAGGAAACCGCACATGTGTATGAGAAACTGGTTGAGATGGGGGAGGGGCCGTGTTAGCTAACGTCGTAGATGTGGAGGGTTGAGGAATTTCAGGGCTGATCAAGGAAAAAGACCCTGACCATGAAGTGGTTTTACTGGGCAATGCTTTGACAGGTTTGCATGTGAGGGCATCCCTCACAGCATGAGGCTGTCCAGAGTGGAAAGGTGGGTAAGGAGAGGATGGCAAGTGAATTCCAAGGGAAGGGGTAACAGAGAGGGGGCTTACATGTTTGGTATAGCCAGGCCACCGTCTCTGGGTCAGAGGGCTCTGAAGGGCAGCACTGGCTTGGGGTCTTTATGTCCTGGGGCTTACCTATGGCTTGCAGATATTGGGTGCTGTTTTGCAGAACATGCAAAGCAGAAAGGCTCTACATGGCTAAAAATCTGCTTTATAAGGGCTATTTTTAGAAAAACTGGCTGTGTAAAAATTTGAGATTGGCACTGGTGGCTTTTGAACTAACAGGTCCCAGCCCACTGTGAAGGAGTAACTGCGGAGCCAATATAAAGAGGCCATCTTTAGCTCATTTATGAGAAGTAAAGCTTTTCTCAGTGTTCCTGGGTGGCCTGAATTGGTGTCAAATTCAAGACTCTGGTGTTTTGTTAACATCTTGCTCTACCCATTATCAGCCCAGCTATCAGGAAGACAGTGACATGTTCCTTAACAGACACACACTTCCTCAAATATATACATGTCATACTTAGTGTGATGCTACACGGAACAGGCTAAGCAACTTCGGGACACACCTCAAAGTGGCTTCTCCTATCTCAGCTGCTATTCAGCAAAGTCCCAGGGGCCACGGAGTGGCTGGCCTGTGAAATGCACTCTGGCAGTGAATGTTGGCTCCGAACCCGGAGGCAACTCTATGCGACTGAGATGGTCCCAGATCTCTATAAAAATACCTTACTGGAGCCATGTGAACTTATTACCAAGGGGGCTGAAACCAATGGTGGTTGGTAGACAACATAATGGTGATTGCTTAAAAAAAAAAGTCTATCAATTGTAAAAATAAGTCATAAGCAGCGAACTTCAGTATGCTAGTGCTCACAATAGTTGTGCCATCTTCGGGAGGCCCCCGACCTCTCTGCCTGCTCATCCTACCTCACATCTGTACCCGCCGATGAAGTCCCTGCAGGTGGCTCCGTGCTGGCAGGGGTTGGACGAGCACTCATCAAGCTGCTCCTCACAGTAGCTCCCGGTGTAGCCCAGGGGGCACTGGCAGTGATGAGAATTGCCAGCATTGATGCAGATGCCAGAGTGCTGGCACAGGTGGTCAGTGGACACCCCTAGGAAACCCAGAACAGGAAGAAACATCACAGAAGAGCACACGACCTGTCAGGTTCAGACCAACTAACTGTGTTCTTACCTAGTTCATGGCCCTCAGCACCAGATTTATACTGAAAATAAGCCAGCCCTGGGGTGCCTGGGTAGCTCTGTTAGGCGTCCAACTCTTGACTTCGGGAGGGGTAGTGATCTCAGGGTTGTGGGATGGAGCCCATGCTGAGCATGGAGTCCGCTTGAGATTCTCTCTCTCCCTCTCCACCCTCCCCTCCCCGACCCCCGCTCTCTCGCTCTCTCTCTCTAAAATAAATAAATAAATCTTAAAAAAAAAAAAGAAACAAAGAAAAGAAAAGAAGTAAGTCCTAAAAGTAGAATATGCCTTCATTTCATTTTACATACATTTCTTTTTGGAATCTCTAAGCGTGTGCCTCTGCCTTTTCACCTCCCATCTCAGACCCTTTCGTAGAGCCTGTTCTTCCCAAGGTAATAATACCTGTCCTAAAACGCTGCCAGTTGGCCACTACTGAGTGACCCTGGAGCCTGAGGAGGCGGAGCTCACCTCTGTGGAAGGCTGCCACCTCACAGGACACATTGGGCACATCACAGTAAGCACCAGCCCATCCAGATGGGCACAGGCACCGGGACTCTGCTTTTTCCTGAATGCAAGTACCTTTGTTTTTACATGGAGACCGACTACAGAGGTTCACCAGGGTCTGAAACAGAAGGATACATCAACATCCAAATATCAGAAAAGAAGAAAATAAGTCACACTGCATTTTAAGAATCAAAGGAAAGCACACTAATTAAAAAAAGGAGCCCTCAGCCAAGTCTTAAAATAGTCCAATGTTCTCAGGTAATCCAATCATTTTATAGAGTCTAATTCTTCTTAGCTCTGCTATTTAATAAGTTCTTACCACAGAAGTTTAAGAATTTGAGGGAGCCTAATAGTTTAAGTTATTCCCTATGTTATGATTATGTCCAGACCTGTAACAGCCAGAAAGAAAGAAATTACAGCTGTCAGAAGGTTCATAACACCTGTGCTAATCCTGTGGGAGAAATCTACGTGGGTCTCAATCAAATCTGTCCACGGTGGTTAAGAGCAAAAGGACTTAAAGCCCGGTAATAAACCTAAAAGCTGTCATAGAGCTTACTTACAGGGGAGAAAATCAGGATTATGAAAAACATAAGGCAGAGTATGAGCAGACTAGTCCCTTTCTCTGTAACTCGCATGTGGTGACCTGACCCCTGGGGAGAGCAAGGTCACACTCATGGAGTGTTTGTGAAAGAAGGGGCCAGTGGGTATGGGTGGAGCACTCCCTGGTACATGTAACCTCATACTGTGAGAATGAGCAAGAGCCTAAGGAAGAATGTACTTCTGATCCACAGATCAGCATCAAGCTGTTTAATTTAATATGCAGAGGTAGTTATTTGCACGTCCAATATAGCCAAAGCCTAACTGAAGTGCACCCTGTAAGGCTAGTTAAATTTGGCCACTTAGTCCTAAATTCTTTGGAGTTCTGTTATTCTATCATTCTAGCATTGTTTAAGAGGCAAATATAGCATAAAATTAAATACAATGTGGGGCGCCTGGATGGCTCAGTCAGCATCTGACTTCAGCTCAGGTCATGATCTCAGGGTCCTGGGATCAATCCCCGCATCGGGCTCCATGTTCGCATCGGGCTCCATGTCCGGCTCTGCGCTCAGTGGGGAATCTGCTTGTCCCTCTGACCCTCCCCCCAATCGTTCGTTCTCTCTCTCTCAAATAATTAAAGAAATAAAAATAAATAAATACAATGCTGTTTGGTATGCAGCCTTGGAAAGGTTACTTTGCCCCCTTTGGGACTCAAGTTTCTTCTTTCATGAAATGAAAGGCTGCCCTAGTTGGCTCTGAGGGTCTATAAAAATCCATATTTACATATTTGAATTTAAAAGACATGTGACTAGTGTTACAACACTGCAAGACATAATAATTATTATTATTATCCCTTCAGATACTGTATCTGACCTTTAAAGACTTTACTTAGACTGTTCTTTATTTCCCTTTTTGCATTTCCAACATAAATACTATCCATGCACTTATTTCCCACATGTATTTCTCTGCAGTTCTTGGTTAGCCTATTACAACCATCTATCTCATGCTTGTTAATCTGTATAATCTTGCCAGTGTCACCATTTTGGAATCTACCAGCTACTAAGAAGTTAGGCAGATTTATCTCAGAGACAACCCCCCTGAGAGCCAGAACTTCCTTGTTTAGGAGGGGTTTATTCTGCTTAGAAGAAAAATAGTGTAATATTCAGCTACTCTGAGGGAGCTGAGTGGGCTGAAATTTAATTACCTGACAGTTTTTCCCTGTGTAGCCCAAGGGGCAGGTGCAGCGGTAGGTACCCAGGCCGTCAACACATATTCCTTCATTTAGGCATGGATGAGAGTTGCATTCATTGATCTCATGGAGGCAGAAGGGGCCAGTGAAGCCCATAGGGCACAAGCAAGAGAAGGAATTAATCCCGTCGACACAGGTGCCACCATTGAAACAGGAGCTGAGAAGCAGAGAGAGCAATGCCAGCTGTGTAATCTGGTTCCTCTGACCTGCTATTTTAAAAAGTCGGGTTCCTAGAATCTAACACATTACAGAGGCAAATACTCCTGAGCATCTTAAACTCCTAGATCTAGTAAATTTTCTTTTTCCAAATTAGACTGGGTGTCAATCAGCCTGAGTCCCAGCTTCATGTCTACAACCAAAAAGGTTACAGGAGTATATAAAAGGCTGAGTTTATTAGGGATTCCCAGAGAAAGTGAAGGTTTCCAGGTTTTACCGAGTCCTGTGATTTTCCATGTATCACATTTCATTTTATCCCTAAGTCAATTTAATTTATAAGAAAAGTGCTAAATAAGTAGCTCTTGACTCTAGATTTCTTTCTGAAAGAGAAACAGAATAAACTTATTGAAAAAAAAAAAACACACCTAGAAATTACCAAAGAGTGATGACAAATGTGCAAAAAAATAGGAATTTTTTAAAATGTCAACTGAAATGAACAAGGGACCAAGAGGAGAATGGAACAGAATTATAACTCTTCCTGTTCCCTAAGCATTAGAAATAAATGATGGTCCATCCCACTAAGCCTTTCAACCTCTGACCTTTGACCTGCTAACTACACATCTACAGGGAATCAGGAAGTAGGCAATAGAAGACGATGGAATGGGACCCAGGTGCATACCCTACCCTGCCGTGCAACCACAGCAATGTGCTCTGTAGTTTTCCCTCCTTTCTCCCTTTTCCCCATAAGACATTGGTGGCTGAGTGTATGGATTGCTCACCTCTCAGTGCACTCGTCGATGTTGTTCTCACAGTGGACGCCATCAAATCCCGACTGGCACTTGCAAGTGTAACTGTTGACATAGTCAGAGCAGGTCCCTCCATTCTTACAGGGTTCACTCAGACACTCATTCATGTCTGTCTGACACTTATCCCCAATAAAGCCAGGATGGCACAGGCAGGAGAAAGTATTCACTCCATCTACACAGGAACCTCCATTCTGGCAAGGATCTAAGTCATTACACACAAGAATTAGAGCTCTGAACTATAGCATCAATTTAATCTTAGACCTATAAAGGTGAGTGACCTGAACTGAGTCATACTAAGAATAGTAACAATTCCGACTTTTCTCTCTTTGTACTTTTCTTTACATCTATTTTGCCTTGACTCCCCCATTTACAAAAATGAATGCAATAACACTTGCCTGAGATTCTTAACCTGTTTGATAATTGGAATGAACTATGCATACACCACTAGGAGTTTTGCAAAATTAAGAGTCCTAAAACTTACAACGGTCCCCCACATTTGCTAATCAAATATGTGCTCCCAATACACAGAATCTCAAAAATATCAGTAACGATTTTCAAAAGGTGTATGTGGTGATGGGAGTGGGTGACATAGGATAGGATATATACTAAGCAGCCCCCTGTGCTGATCTTTCCTATCTTTTCCCTCCCTTCATCTTTCATTTCCATTCCTTCCCTCTTCTCTTTCCTGTTTGTTTTTGTTTTCTTGATTTAGGCAGAATGAGGAAACATTTAAAAAAATTTTATATATCACACAGCTTAATCTTAGAACACTTTAGGCTCACAGCAATTAATCAACAAATTTTGACCTACTCTATGGCACAGTCCTCTGAAATATAGATGACATATTAGAACAAGAAAAATGAGTTAGCTCCTGCTCTTAAGGACCTTAAAGTATAATTGCAAAGACAGGTCATCTACATAAAAAGAGAACTAAACATCAGGTGGGTAATGTAACCCCGATTTGATAAGAGGCTTATTTAAAACCTTATCCATCTACTAGGCTAATTCCACTCTAAGGCTCATCTGCAATCTTGACTGGAAAAATTGTAAAAATCATATTATCCCTTCTTATCCACAGTGCATAGCACACTGTAATTTCCATAGCATCTTTCAGGAAACTCACCATAACTTACTGAATTATTTTAAATTAATTATAAATATTGCTAGCTTTACTTCCAATAGGAAAGATTTTATTTCTTTCTTTTTTTTTTTTAAAGATTTAATTTATTTATTCATGAGAGACAGACAGAGGCAGAGGGAGAAGCAGACTCCCCGCGGAGCA